AAACAAACATGGATAGACAGAAACTGACCCCTTCTCTGGGATCTACGGCTTACGCCTGGAAATCATATGACACATGCACAAGTTATTTAAGTCGCGAAACCAAAGAAAGTGGGCAACCACTCGAATCATTAATTCTACAGAGGGTTAGTATTGTGGTTGAGAATGCACTGAATTGAACTTGAGCTACCTTTATAGTAAATCACTTACGTGTATCTTTGATGCAGCGAGATTCTCGAGTGTTATGTTCATTACTCATTCATAATCTTCTCCTACTGACTTCCCTGAAAAAGCGTCCTAGCTAGTAGACTGAAGAGAATTAAAATTTGCCTCTCATTGCGTAACATGAATCACATAAGAAAAAATACTAATTAAATTCATACAGAAAAATCGATGTTAACACAATATCGTAAGAAATGGCAACCGGCTAATCAAAAACATAAGAAGTTCAAACGCTATGGTCAGCAAAAAACGGGGAAAGAGGTAAAACTTTGGGAGGGAAGATGTGTAAACAGGGAGCCAATGTTACCACGGCAGCGTTAGGTTCACTACATGCTCCGGCTGTTTATATAGGTCAGGTTTGAACCGCGTATGTAGGTTGCCTCCTAGGTAGCGTAAGGTGCGAGTTGTTCGTGCTCGAACAAGTACTCGGAAAGACGGTTTGGGGTCAACAGTATGGCCCGAGTCTAGGAGATGCTTAGTAATTGATGAACAGGGAATTCTGCTTTCTTTTTTCATTAACCAGCGGTTATTGCTATCTTTCGATTAAAATTTGATATTTTGCGCTCTGAACATAAGTTTAAGGACTAAAACATATCCTGTTTCCCCGCAAAGAATTGCCAGCTTTGTATATGCAGTCAGAAATCATGAAGCCAACATTAAGCCCTCATTTATGATTATCAATATTCCAAAAAATATCGTCAAGTTCTCAAGTTGCGGCTCATTCGACGAAACCCTGCAACACATTCAAATTTGATGAGGCCGAAGTTGTCGCAAGAGGTGACAATCGGGTGAGCCGAGAATTACTTGAGTCATGGTTTACAGGCCCCCAATCCATAAACAATTGCAACGACTTGTCCAATCCGTATTCGGTGCTGAGCCTAAATTTGGCCAAAACAAGTCACTGTTTGGGGAACGGACAGGCTACCGCGTCATCCTACACCAACACCGGACGGCCAGATGGCCGAGTAATCATCACGCCCGAGTCCACCACGCGTGATGAATATTCAACAAGTCAGAGCTCGTATGCCATCCAACAAACGATCCACGCGCAAGAAGGTAATTAACGTTAATTATCGCTGTTTGTTTGCACTAAAGACTGATTCCTATAAATACTGCAAATTTTCGTGCATGTATTACATGTTTCTGCTACCGCTTTCTGCTAATATCTCTGATGATGAATCCACGACGGATGTCGAAATTTCAGGCGGATAAAAGTATTGTCCCACCGATTGAGTCGTCTTCTTCTCAGTGTCTTCTAAGTCATCTTATTTGCATTTTCCATTTTCAATCGACCTGCATGTTTTAGCTCCACAGTAATCAATTTAGACAGTGTTAAACTGCAGTTGCCAACAAGCCTGTCCTCTGACATAGTATAATGTTTGGTCGGCAGAGTGAACGACAGTTACAAAATTAGGTGAGATCCCGTAATCGCTGAGAAGCTTTGGTGTGGGTCAAAGCGGGCCTTGTACAAAGGGCCAGTATTTTGAATGAGTAAGCATTGACTTGAGGTCAACTCACGCCGTTTCTAATTGGGGCAACGCCCAACCAATAAAACTGGTCATCTTTTAAGTACTGAGCGACCCACGCGTAGATTATTATAAAAATAAGCTGGTCGAAAATACAAAGATAATTCTTCTGGTTTTTAATGACAGCGCATCAGGTATTGATTATTCTGCTAGCCTCCGCCAATATGGTTACGTCATCACGTGATTACTGGGGTACGTGTACAGCAAATTACAACACGCCCGTGCCCGTTTTTGTAGTATGCTTTGTAAACAGAACAGATAATAGGTATAATCCTTTTGCATTGTTATTACAAAGTTATACTTAACTGGCGATACCCTTTTGGATATTTTTCCTCGAAAAATATAATGATGTGATTTTTCCCTGAACTTTCTTCACACCTACACTCTAAAACCATATTTTTAAAGATGTTCCTGACTGTTCAATATCTGGTCGTTACCTTACGTCAGAAGAAGTGTCCAGCAGATTGCTTCGACTAAACACGTACTTTCAAGCCATATCCGTTGACGACATACGTGGACAAACAAGACTTGAAATGAAGGTTTCGCAACACCCATTAGTAGTACATTGTATGGGTGGTGATCTCCAAAGTGCATCTGCCAATTTTGAGTTTCAATGTGCCATAATCTACCCCAAGGTTCTTATAACGTTGACTAAGCTGGTAAGTTATTGATAGTGGCCATATGTTTTTCCTTTGCCATCGTATATATCTCAATGCGGCTAGTGTATACCTCACGGATTGAGGCAAATGTTCGCATTTCAGCAACGTCTATATTTTCAAAAGAATAAGTTTTAGCGAACTTCAGAATCATAATTTTATTAGTTTGAGCTTTCGAGCTCTTGCAGGAGTCCATCGTGAGAGATGGGATAAGAGCAAAAAATGGGGTGGCTAGTTCTGGCGTGTGTACAAAACAACTAAAATTTTTGAACGTGTAGAAAATCAATAATTGTGTGGTTGAACCGCCGACTCGCCACTGCGGAGTACGTCAATCTGTGCGTATGGGCGAGATCGGCATGTTGGGTGGAAATATTTACAAAAATGAACTCGTCAACATACACAAGCCACATTTATAGGAAAAAGAGTCAATTAACGATTTTATTTCTGTAAATTTCCGACCCGAAACGCCAATCTCGTCCACAAGCACATACTGGCATAGTCCGCAGTGGCGAGTCGGCGGCCAAACCACACAATTATTGATTTTCTACACGTTCAAAAATTGTAGTTGTTTTGAACACACGCCAGAACTAGCCACCCCATTTGTTGCGGTTTTCCCATCTCTGACGATGGACTCCTGCCGGATCCCGAAAGCTCAAACCAATAAAATCATGATGTATACCTTTCCTCGAGTACCTACGAATTTGAGCGTTTTCGTTCATTTACTTGAATATGCACTTGGATATTGTCTATCTCCAGCATTTGTTATTAAGTAATATATGCCATCTACCATACAGGAAGCATTAGCGGACTTGGACGGCGAAACACAGCCGCGAGAAGCTAGTCAGTTCCAGTTTGGACAGAAACATCTGCGGGCGAGAGCGCGGTATCAAGGGGAACGGGGGTTTTGGAACATCACACTTTTTCATCTGAAAGAAATCACGTTGACAGACCTCGACACAGACTCCACTGCGGTACTACAACGCGACCGTTTGGCTCGCGTGCAAGACAACGCTTGGATCAGCTCCGTATTGCCGATTGCGAGCATTCTCCAACGCGAGGCCCTGAAACATCCCCCCTCTACTGGATGCCTCTCGGCTTATCACCAGGAATGAACAGAGCACTATGTGTGTGTGTTGGTTACGCGTGCGACTGCCTCTAGGTACGAAGAGGCGTACTACCAACGTACTGTGCTTTATCGACGCTCAGTGTGTGGAATTACTATAATAAATTATACGCACATGTGCGCACTTTACTTGTTTTACAGTGTAAGCGTCGAGCGAATATTTTAAATTTCCATGGTGTAATTTATCGCATAGGTTGTGACCCGTCGTCTACTTTTGTTACCGACAGCCTTACTGATTGACTTTTCTTCTAGGGAAATGTACCCATAACCACGAAACCCGCTCATTTTTATGGCCGATTACAGTATGACCACCAGGAGCAAGCCAATAGCCCAATGGATTACAAAATTTGCACCTAAAACTAAGCAGAATGTAGTGGAAGTGATCGTCGATAGGGTATCGTCTTCCCAGTTATCTGTCGATGTGGTAATCATTTAAAGCACAAATTAGAAAACAGAGCAAAAACAGTTCATGTGTTACTAGATGATCCAAAAACACACATTTGCATTTTGAAAACTATAACTGATAGTGAGGGATGCGAATAATTTTTGGGAAGTTGCGGAGATTACAGGACAGAAATACACATGAAAATGTCCCAAGAAACATGGTCACATACGGTTGAAGGAGCATGTTCGTGCAATTTGACACTCGACTCGCTCAGTGGAGATGATTAGATGAGTAACTGTGCGAAAACGTGAACAAAGGAAAAGCCAGTGGCGTTTGTTGTATTTGCGGATTTACTGTGATTGCTGTGAGTTGTCGTTCATACGAGGCTTCTTTACTGATACTTTGGGAGTCCGGACCGTCATAATGTTTAAAAAAGCCTGTTCACATTGAAACCGGTAAAGGGTGTATGAGACCGTAAATACAACTGACTAATTAAAGTGCCCTGAAAAGAGTGTTTATTCCACTGCCTTCCTTATATATAGTAACGCTTTAAAAAAAAATTAAAGATGGGTTATTTCTTTCTGCGTGTATAGATAATGCAATAGGCAAAAAACATAGTACTATTTACGAAGTGAAACCTACGAATTTTATGCAACAGAACTGAATATAATCAAAACATCAGCACAAGCGAGCCATCGTGAAATATTGTACCGATATGTGCTTTGGGGTTTCTCTTAGCTGTAGTAAATCTAAAGGGATTTTTATTGTATCTTTAGTAGATATGTGTTTATAAATTTTAACCCGGAGGTCTACAGGAGTAGATCGAAAGTTAAAAAGAAGGTTTGAGTAGGAAGTCTGGGTAAACCGCGTGTAATTCACAAGCAGCCAACAGGCAGCTAGCAGTATAGGATATGTAGTTATTATTTATACTAGTTAAAATTGTAATAATTAAATAAATAAATTCGCAAATACTCTGCGGCAGCATGACAGAAATACGCGGGCTTCGATCCACCAGTTAGCGCCAGCGGATTCAATGTGCTATTTAAAGCTGCGTTTATTTCCTTTTGGCAATATTAAGCGACTGAGTTTGCAGATGACACCTGTGTAGCATAGACGGTTAAGGCAGTAACTTCACAATTCATTGCCATTCAGCCTAGCAACCGTTTCATTTTCATTTTGGTAAAAAAAATCTGATAGGCCACAACCAAACGATTTAACGGAAAAACAATCACTACAGTAGTCGCCGGCT